ATATAGAAAAATGAGAAATCCTTTTATTTTTCCTTTTTTTTTCCTAAGTTTTCCTATTTTACTCTTATTTTTCCGAAAAAATAGGAAAAATTAGGAAAAACAAGGAAAAATGTAAGGATTTCTCCTTTTTCTATATTTTCTATGGAAAAAGAAGAAATCCTTCTATTTTGTTTTTCCTATTGTTTTCCTTTTTCAATCCCAATTTTGTTTCCATTTTTTCCTCACTTTGGACTGCCATGGCCGCCATGGCCTTCTCACTTTTTCCGAAAACACAAGGAACCCAAAAAAGCCATGCCCACTTTTTTCCTATTTTCATTCCTACTCTCTGCGGATGTTTTTCCTATTTTATATCATTTTTGTATCATCCTAGTGGAAGCCTCTATTTACATCATAACATACAGGGAAGCCGTATACTTTTCAGCGGACTGGTGGCCTCTCAAGTCCACAATACTTACTTGGAGAGATGTTCGGAGGTCTGATTTTGGAGTCTGAAGGCTCAGGGTTGTGCTATGGAACTCAGGGAAGCGCAGGTAGGAAATGTTTGTTTGTGACCAGGTGAGAGGATAGTGCTTTTCAAGCTGACTATAGCCAAAACAAGGATATAATGTTGCTCTATACTAGGGGCCTGAAGTATCCCCACTAAAAATGCGTCTCATTTGGGGTTTCTGGCTTGGGGCGTATCGGCCCACGTCGCCTAGTGCGTTCAGCTTGGAAGGGCGTTCCCATACATAATCCCCATAGAATCCTTGCCAGCATAATCCCCATAGGTGCTGCTTGTTCCCAACTGAACCCCGTCTTTGACGCGAAATCTCTCCGTACTTGATTCCACAACTACAGGTGCGGCTGCAGGACGAGGACTTCCTGGCACCTACCCTGTGTCTGATGGCTTCGGGCTTCAGATTTAGCATTTAAGGCCAACCCTAGACATCCAAGTATACAAACAATACCTACATTGCGCCCTAAAGTCTGTAAATATTACCTACACTGGGCTATTTCGATCCTACGGCAAGCGCTTTTGAATTTTGGGTGTAGCTTTTGATTTGGAGCTTTTAGGGCTACAGATGTTACATCGCAAGCCCTCGCTCAAGGAAACAAGCATCGTCGCCACTGAACCCCAACTCAACCGACCCAAGACTTATAAACCCTCAGCCCGATATGGTTTTTTCCTGACATTGGAGGTGCTTTGGGGGGGTCCCTACAACAAGAACTAGAATATTTGGGGCTTCATGCTGGGGTCCCCCTGTTATTTAGGGCAACTACCACATATGGTTGTGTGCTGGGCGTCCTGGGACACCCCTAATGGGGGTTGGTTCTGTCTGCGGGGGGGTGGGTGTTACCTCTATAGAACCTGTATAACTCTGTAATTCCTTCTTCTATATTCAAATCCTTTTTCTAATCTCGTGCAAGGCTCTCCGCGATTCCTTCTGATATGCATGTTTTCCGTTTGTAATTCTGTCACTAAACCACATTGTAGAGCTTTGTTTTAGAAAGTCCTTGTTCGTTGTCTACATGGCCAAGCCGAACCACACCACAGGGGGGGCGGAGAGGGCCCGCCGGTGCGCAACCATGTATCCCCATATACCGCCTATGGAATCCCAAAAAAGCC